TAAAACCTTTTTTCTTTATTATTAGAGATCGCTAAATTTAAATACAAGATTATCTCCGGATATATTATTACCCGGGTCATACACATTATGCATTACATACTATTAGACTATAAATTACTTTTATGCATCTACTAATTCAACGATCATGCAATTCATGCAGATCTGAATCATGCCACTTATGCATCCTGATCCTAATCTGGCACCACGAAATCCCAAGGTACCAAATTAACCCATGACACTAGTACAGAAAACCACTTTTGAACATTTATAGAAATAGCCAAGAGACGTTAGGCTTAAATATTAAGCTCAATATAGTCAAACCTTTCTATAGTCACCTTTTTTATAATTACAAAATTGAAATAATTACAAATTTATTTTTACTAATTATTTATAACTATGTAGAAAATACTTCTATATTAGTTACATCTTTTTATAATCATGGTTTTTTGTATTCTGAAGGTGTGATTATAGAGAGGTTTGACTGTATTATATAATCTATTTATATAATAATCTTAATAAAGGATCACTGGCAAGATTGCCAAAGAAGAAAAAAAAAGTTTGTTATATATTATTAATTATATTAAATATTTTATGTCGAAAATTTTACAAAAAATAAAAATTAATAAGTAGCATTAAATCAAATTAGAATATGTATATATTAATAACAAAATTATATATTTGAATATTATTATCAATAGTATTTGTTTGGTAAAGTGATATAATGAATATTAATAAGTGATATATTATTCAGAATAGGCTAGCTTTTCCAGTTTTATTTGTTTAATAAATATTTTTTATACTAAAAAGCCAACCCTAAATACAACAATACAAACACTAATTTTTTTTTTAACTTCCAAAGATTATGCTCTCCGCCCTTCACATGGTCTAAGTAAAGTCGTTTATAGAACCCAACGTTCGATATCATAAATCCTTGCTACACAATTTGATCCCTAGCTTCATCAACTTGAAGATCGTCACATGCACCAGGCAGTCTCGGTTGCAAGTTATCTTTAATCAGGACCTTCGACTCTTTGACGCGAGTATGCAAAACGTTTGATCCAACATTATTCAAGCTACTCCAACGGCGTTTCAGGCCAGATAGCAACATGAAACACTCAACATGCTCTTCATCGTTTTTCTATCCTTCATCAGATTTTGCCAAACACCATCTGTTCATCAACACCTTTCTATTGACTTCAGCATTTGTCGCACCAAAATGTATATCTTTATTTCGATCTTCATTTACACCACCACCCTTAGATATCATCGTTTCAGGTATCTTGTCATGATAAGACTCGTCAGAGCCCAGTAGTAATCTCTGTATATATACGTATATATAAAGAATTAAACACTTGTTACCAGGGGTGCCGAATAATTGATTGCAATTAAATTATTGTCCGGAGCATAGCGAAGGACATTTAATGTTTACGCATGGTGATACACAAGTTACGTTTTTGATGCATCAATAGTTACGTTTTTGATTAATTAATTATTAATGCATCAAAAACATAATTTTAAAAATTCTTG